AGGACAATGGCAGCATTGTATACATTAAGGTATTACACTAAAGTTGAACGACCATTGCAAAAATGTACATGCTTCAAGTAACCTCTTATTCCCTTCAGATCAGCCAGCGATAAATTCTGTTCAAGGAACCTTGGAAGTTTACACAGTAGTGAGCTGGTTAGTTAAATTTTAAAAATTGACTGTTCAATGTCCCTAACAACAAAATCTGCTCATTCGTCAGAACTTTTCCAAAAATCGTGTCCAGCAACTGAATTTCTAATTAATCCACGAATTTCTTAGATCTGATTTCATTAATATTTCCTGTACATGTTTTCTCAAATATTTATGCCTGCTGATTAAAGCAAAGACAAATAATTCTACACGATTTCGTGACAAGAAAAGTTTTAGGAAACGATTTAAAGACAAACGGGTTTTCATTTAGTACTTTAGCTCAGAAGAATAATCAATATCTGTTGACGAAGACGGGAAAAATATTGGAACAAACCCCAAATTTTCACTATCTGTCCATGTTCACTAACTACACCTTTTGATAATGGTGCATGCATAACGGTCACGAAGTAATCATGCGTTTTAAAATATTTCCTCAGTAATGCGGACTGACAATTTTCAGCCGTGTGGAGGTTGGGTCAAAATGAATGAGACTTTTGGCAATTCCGTTAGGAATTATAGAATTATTTTCGTAACATTCGAAATTAGTTGCAGTGACATTCTGTAAAATTACAAACCCTTGGCAACTGAGTACTAGGAAAACGACAGACCAAAACACGTAAACATCGCTTTGAAGTCAAGGCCAGCGCACCTCAAACGCGTTTGCGCAGTCGTGCGCCACGCTGTTTTTGACATTATTTTTGTAAATCATAGCCCAGTGTACCAAAATGACCCTAGACGACGATGGATAAGTCAAAAGAAATCGACAGGTTGGACATTTCATTGCTATGATCGCTTCGATCGCAATAATTTCAGGGGCAGCATTACAGCTTCCCATACAGATACCCAAGCAGCGATAGAAAAAGGTATGTACAAATAGACGTGACATCAATTTAGGCCAGTTTGTAAATGTCATCTTCACAGACTAGCTCGCCATCGCGAACCTTCAGCTCCAAAAATTGGTGGAGATGCTGTCGCGTATACTCTGCTCCGTCATTCGAACCAAGAGCGAACATCCGCAGCATAGAGTGGATTCGCTCCAGCGACATTCCGCCCAGATTAGTTAGCATTCCCGTTATGTAGGACCAGAACACCTGAAAGAGCACAAAAACGCTTAAGTTAATGCCATAAAGTTACTGGTTGCCAGCAAGTGGACAAAAGCTCCAGACCTACCTGTAGTTCTACATTCAAGACCTCACGGCCGGGAAGGTAGTCTGTGCTGCTTTGGCCTTCCTGCTCTGCGATGCTGACGTTGATATCAGTCTGGTCCTCCTCGGTTTTCGCGACTTCAGAAGTTGGATTGTCGGCACAAACACGGTAGGTTTCAATGTCCCCAGCAGTTTGTTCAATAAAGCCCCTTTGCAAGAAGGGTGCCAGGCTTCTGCGCACCGTAGATGTGGTAATCTCAAGTTGCTAAAACGGCCAAACTGTTTAAGCTATCAAAACTAACAACTCGGTTGGATCAATATCTTCAACCTGTGTACCTGGCTAATATCACACAGACTCCAACGGGCCTTCTGAGTGAAGAGATGCAGGATGGAGGCCTGAAGCGGGCTCACGTCCATGCTTACGCCTTGGCCGCCACGGTCAAGGGTAACATTCACCAGACCCAGTTTAGACATCCAGTTCAGGGTACGGTTACCCTTCATCTTCTCAAAGTATCTTAAATAAAAGGAACGGCATAGATCTAGGAAATCGATGAAGGCGCGAACAGCTCATCTAATGCTGTAGAAACAAATTGGCATTCTATACCAAATAAATAACGGTAATCGAGCAGTCAATGCACCCACGTATGAGCATCTCGACGGACAAACTCGTGCATTTTCGGCTTGTGCACTAATTGGCTACAGGCACTTAGGGCTTGCCCTGAAACGACCTAACACATGCGGACTAGAACCAGCATTCGTTGTGCTCTATTGCCGAACTTCGCATTGCACTTTTAGACTCCAGGCCGATCTTTACGAGTAACCTGGAGAGGTGATACTGCTGAGTCTTGTGTCGAATCAAGTGACCGAACATCGGAAGGTATCCGAGTCATGGGGGTTTCAGGTAGCTGACCACCCTCAAATTCACGAAGCCACTTTAAATAACCGAAAAACGTCATGGGATTTCTTGGTAGATCGAAAGCAGTACTAGAAATTACTAACGTCTAGTTAGGGTCGCCTCAGCGTAAGCTTACGGTCGGCGATAAGTGGAAGCAAGTGCAGACTACAAACTCACGAAGTGAACTCCGAAAAGGACGCGCTTAGGGTTCCGGGAAGTTTGAACTCTTCCCGGTGAAACTCGGGCCAGTACTCTCCTGAAAGGATAAAAGCCTGTAGGGGAAAACGAATGGGGTCGTCTGAGGAAGAACGTTCTCCTTCTGTGGTTCGAATGACATCGGCAACAAAGGCGCTGATACGACGAGAGTCGCGGATATCTTTCAGCATCACCTTAAACGACAAAAAAACGTAAAAAATTAAAAGCAGAATCAAAAAATGGGTACATTATGAAGTTTTGGGGATTCAAGCATTCTCCAAGACTAAGTAAGGCTTCTTTAACTCTTCGTATCACGCCTCCCCATTTGGTGACCACATCTCCAGGGCTTCCCCAATGACAGCTCCCATCTGTGCTGGTCTCTATTGATCCAGTGGAATCAAGATTCCCCACAGCATACATAAACTGATTATTCTGACATGCTGCTCGGTCGAAAGCTGAGACAGCATAAACACTGCACGAAATCTTGTTCAGCGCACTTAGATAAGGGGTTCGCTAAACTGCACCACTGAAATGTGTTGGGTATGACTAACTTACTTCACAATCCTGCATATCCGACTCGCCAAATCGAAGCTTCAGCAGTTCCAGATGACGCACTTGAACAGCGGTATCGAAGGACAATTGACGAAGAAGTCGCTGACTCAAAAGATTGCGGTACTCCACAAGAAAAGATTTTTTGCTTCCGTAGATGCCCACCAAAAGACTTAGTAGATCGATACGACGTTTCCAAGGAGAGCCAGTGTGGTGAAGTGCCTCCAGGGGATCCGGCATCCATCGGTCCCAGTCGAGGTCGACAACAATCTTGCAGACTGTGACATCCTCGGTAGCTGCATTGGAGGTGATTGTGAAGCTGCCGTTGGGATCTGGGGTATATAGGTGCACGAAAATTTCTGATTTCGAAAAGGGAATGTATACTTATCACTTGGGAAAAAAGCTGGCTATTGAGAGGCAATTCCAGCAAACATCCCCCCAAAACTGTTCAAAATTTCGACTAGATGGCATCGTTTATTAAAAAAGTTAGGAGGAATAGCATTTACTAAAAATTTGGTTGATCGCTCCGAGCCGTTTTTGAGAAGCATTTAACATGCGAACGCGGATCACGAAGTCAGTGCTGTGGAAGATGTCACTTTTAGACAAAACTACGCAACCACGAAACTTTGCAGAATATTCAGAGAACCACATGTCTGAAGTTAAAAGTAAACGCCGTTCTGCGAGCCTTGATAACTCCCAGTTCATTGAAAATTTCATTCACTGCAAAGGCTGTGGCGATTCTTAGAAGAGAAACAAGGATTAAAACAAAATAAACCACTTTGCCTAGGAAATCCCAAAATAATCAGCGAAACTGAAGGAACAGTGTGACGAAAACCGGATGAAATGATCCTTTGCAACTGGCTTTTTCTTAAAACTTCCAAAGCTGTTCCCTTTTGCCAGGTGGCATTTTTCGCTGGTCCTGGTGGGTGAGTGGATTTCTCGGGGTTTCGTTCTATCAGTGAATTATGGGCCTGGAAGATGACTTGGGTCAGCTCAAACGAGGAGCACGCTTTGTGGTTCACGCACGTAGGGAGGAGTCAGGAGAGTTCACGTGAAACCACTGTCTACTGGCAGTGACTGTGAAGCGAGCTCTTGTCTCGAGAATCCGCCTTCCCTCTTCCCTACTGGATGGTTATCTCCATAGCCCACGTAAACAAAAATCCACCTTTTTCGCATGAGAACCAATCAGCAAAAATTGTTCAGTTCAAGCCTAGCGGATTGGTGAAATCTGCCGAACGAGGGCACAAGACATCCTAAAGATTTTGCTGATGGGGTTATACGTAGGAAACAAAATCAATCAAGACCAATTCAAGGCTAAGGGACTGACCGTGAGCCACTAGATGCGCGTCCCCATCCCTAACTTCATCCGTTGGTTCCACTTCGAGTGGTGTGGGCAGTAGCAGCTCTTTTTGCAAACCGGTCACTTGATTGTCCTCTTCATTGTCCCCGACCACGTTCTGATGTCCTGGAGGTGTAATAAGTCGGTCGACAATACAGTGGACTGCATCGTCACGTACGCGAAGGCAAGACGCGACGGGCTGGCAGATGATGTCCTGCGCCACCGAGGAGGGATCGATCTCGCGAAGACCTCGAACCAGGCATCCGTAGCCCATGAGAATCTCATCTGTATGAACACCTGGGTGAAGAAGGCGGATACGGACCTAACAGAGAAAAAGACAGTTTTGAGTGCCGGTCGATTTTACGGAATTAGGAAGCTCAGTGCCTAGAACACTGCTCGGTTTTCAGGTAAAACTTCAACTGGAATTTAAAATTGAACGAACGGGGATACTAAAATGTTGGTAACATGTTGATTTGGTAACAGATCTTCGTCGCAAATCAATGGACGACATTAGCACACCTAATTACTCAGCATTTTTTTGTGAAGTTCGCGATTAAAGACACTTGAGTAAACTATCTAAGCGTTCAAGAGCTCAATGTCAATTATTAAGAGACGTGTTGTTACCTAATCCAGCTCACTGATATGAGTTTGTCTGATGTTAATTGGACAGAAAAACACAGCATAAAATCCAAACTAGGAAAGTCGATGGTTGGCAGGTTATACTGGCAACGAAAGCGAGAACTCAATAATATATTACAGAGACGAACTTGATGTAGGTACCTCCTTTCCTAGAGCATCAATTAGGTCCTGGAGAGCATGGGTCTCCATAAGATACGCCTTCAAATCCATCACAGCTGGGCGCGATTCGGGATAATCCATCATAACGCGAAATAGCTCCTGTCTACGCACGCAATAGTACGTAGTGTAAGCGAGTTGTGGCGTCAATGGGTTCGACTGAGTTTTAATATGATTGATTCGCTTCAACCAAGATTTCTCCACGACGTGGGCCAGGTAGTCACGCAGGGGTCCAATAAAGGAGGATGTGTACTCGTTCAAAATGAGCTCTTCTGTCTTGTGTAGAAAAGCGGATTCAATGAAAGGCTTCACGAGATCCTCTAGGAGGAAATGGAGGGAGAATTCACTCGGACCAAGAGAGAAAATGTGACGGCATTGCTCCGCAAGGTCACTTGGCAACTGTGTACTCAATTTACTTGTCACTATAGACTCAAAAAAACAATTATAATCTGGTGTGTCCGATTCGGCAGCGTTGAGCTCAAGGAGCATGTAGGCATAGAGGAAAGGTTCGAGACTGTGATGAACGTCTGGAGTGAAGAGCGAGGCCACAGCGGCTACCTCGAAATGGTGTATTTCGGAGGGAAGGTGTCGGTGAATCAGTCTACAGATGGCACCCGCGTGTTCTTGAATTTCGTGTAGTCTTTGAAAGAGATTCAGAAAGACCTTCAAGTGCTCAGAAAGCACACAGACAGCAGTTTGGAAGGGATCAAGATCGGGGCGTGAATATGCCGCCTTCAAGGCGTCGGCATCCAAGTAGCAAGTGGAACGAAGCGTGTGAAGGGCGCTTTCGAGAAGAACTACCGGATACTCGCTGTGCAGACCCGACTCAACAAAGGCCTGCAAGCCACCAATTATCGCCATTGGCTGGAATGAAAAAAAACCCCAATAATGCACATTTTCCCTCATTCATCAGTTTTGAAGAAAGTCCTCACACACTGTACGCTTATCACATCGAATTAATTAAGAAAACAAACTAACTGAGCATTACCACTGTCGTGATTGAAGGCAAACGTATTCAACCGCAAGCATCCACGAGTGAGCAGGCATACAGCGGAGCGCAGCTGAAGTACGACAGCTATTCCACAAACGTCCAGGCAAAAAAAATTAACGGTAACTGATGTCGCCTCCCGGTTCAAACCGATAACCATAATAATCACACGCCATTCGATTTTCCTTAGTGTAATGCTAGATGGCTTGTTGTCCTTTCGCCGTTCGAAACATGAATACGCAGCACAGGTATTGGGAGCGAAATAACAACTTTACAGTAAATCATCTGACATTTTCTGTCGTGTTTTCAACTCAGTTGATCTGCAGACCCTTTGACAGCTTCTTAAAGCAAGGCAGCAGCTAACACCATCGAATCTAGGGTTCCACTTGGTCGATAAGACCACAAACACTACCACATTTAATTCCCTCTGTATCAGTTGTGCCCCCTTGTGTTGAGACATTAGCGCCTATTTAAAATGCGTCGGCGTGACGGACGACGAAAAAGCCAGCAACAGCAAACTGACTAATTAAAATCTGCTTTTCATCACAATCATTCACAAACCGATATAAACACAAAACCACTGGAGAAGCGCTTATAGGTGACTTTGTTCCAATAAAAGTTGGAGTTCTGGTTTACAGCTTTATACAGTGAGTGAATAACAAATAAGTGGGGTCAGTCGTCGGCTATCCGCAACTCTCCACTTCGGTACTGCCTGAGCAAATCAATAGCGGGAGTTCCAGTCTCCAGGTGCAGTCGATAGAGATATCGCAGAGCCCTAAATGCAGCCAAATCAGCATAAGGGGTTCGGGTGAGGGGATCAAGGTAGGCGGCTACACGGCCGGTGAGAGGACAAAAGCGGGTCTTCTTGCGCGGCGCTTGACCCGAACGTTTGCCAGGAGCGGTTGAGGGGAAGGTGGCCGTGAAGGAGGCGGGGTCGGTAAACGACACCAGCGTCCGCGCGCACCGCAAATTCCGGTTCACCAGCATTTGTCGCATTTCCACGTCACCACTGGAAAATAGAAAGTGCGAGCAAGTGAAAAGTGAGACACACATTAGCAGTGTACTGTAGAAAGATGTACATCCAACCGACTTGATCGTCAAAACAGAACAGGAACCACTATCTGCAGGCAGTTCTCCCACAATCCTCAACTAGTGCCCCTCATAGGCGAGTCGGGTGTCTCGGCATTACCGCGCTAATAAGGAAAGCAGCACACACCTTCGTTCTACCGCGACTTAGACGCACTCTCTTACTACGTTAGAAAGCATGCCGTGTATTTTCCAGGTATTTGTGTCGCTAGTGGGCATTGATTGGCATTTATTTGGATACGCGATTTTGTACCACAATATTCACCACTTGCTTCTAAGGCAACGGCACGAGGAAGTACTTCGAAGTGCCTTCATGCACACAACTGCAAAGAAATAAGCCAACCTTTCTGAATTGACAGCGACGCCATAGACCTCAGGTTGGTCGGCCACTGATGGAACAGCGAAGCTGTGAGTGCGAATCATTGGTTGTTGCGAGACAGTCTTTTGAACCCGAATCTTCTTTCTTTCTATTTCCAGCTTTTGGTAGCGAGCTATACAAAAAAAATCACGACAATGCAAACAAACCGAGGCGTGAACATGGAATCACTAAAATAAACCACGCCGATCAGTCGGCAATTCAGCCATGGTTTCACTGGGAATTACAGTTTTAATGCCCCAACTATTAACGGTACCTTCGTTCAAAACAAGTTGAGGCATAGTTCCTTTGGTTGGTGGTTCGGTACAATAACAAATGTCAGTTAAGGCAATATTAAAGTCAATAAGTGACCGTGACGAATGGGAAACTAAGAGAAGCAATTAGGGTTATGGTATTTCAGTCTGGTGCATTTACTTCACAGGAGGATGGTCCAAAAGTGGTTCCTGAATAGATTTCGGATTAAACGACAAGCATACATCAGATTAATCGCCACTTTTTCATGAGCAACCATTGAAATTGTACTAGCGTTTTGATATAGCCTGTAAAAGAGTCCAAGACGCAGCTAAAGGACCTCAGGTGGCTGAGCGGTTTTCGAGTAGGAAAAGCACGAGACAAGAGAGACCATACCCAGCGACCGCTTATTAATCTCCTCGGTGATCTTGGCCTCTGCCAGGAGCTCTTCCTGCGTCAGCCGTCGCACCTCCGGCAGGTTCTTCCGCTGAGCGATCTCGGCCAGGAGCGCCTTGCGCTTCAACGCAGTGGCCTCCGAGTTGCCCGACTGCTTCTTGTCTGTGGCAGCCTCAACATGGGCACGAACGGTGCTCGCACGCAACTTTCGACCTTCTAGAAATATACAAATTTAGCAATAATTGGTCAGCAAATAAACCCGGCATGCAGGGCTCCACAAGAAAATGACTGAAGAGAGTTATTGGTCCTAAAGGCAATGTCAAACATGTGTTTTAATGAAAGATATCACATCACTGTTATTTACATTGGAGACTACGTGGCAAATTTAGGGATAATGAATATCAGCAAAGCGAATACATAGTGGCATTCAACTGGATTTGACCGTTTAGACCATTAGGGCATTACGACTTCTTAGAAGAAAGTAGATATAAAATAAAACTGCGATGGATTTGAAATCAGAACATCGAGGTTAATTCTATCCATTGAGGCGAATCCCGATCAAAATCGGTCACGAGTTACGAGTCTAAGTGCAAGGCTACCTCATTCCGATAAACACTAAAGTACTTATCAACAGTGACTTGTATATGCCAAACAAATTGCCGGAAGTTTGTTGTCAAAATGATAATAATTGTTAAATCTATCTGAAATGTAACGACTTTTAACAAGTTCAAATGCGATTTGATGGTTTTCGAGATTACAGACTTGATGTGATATACATGCGTATGTGAGGGAATAAAGTATCTACCTGACGCGAGTTCTGCCGAAGGCTCTTCCAGTGGCCTACTGCGCGGTTTCGGTTCGGGCTTCACTTTATCACTTGAATCCTTTTTTGCCTTTGGTTCCTAGTAAACGGTCATGATTATCAAGCCAATATTGAAATACGAAGGTAAGGGCAGACACACACACACACCTTATAGCTTTTTGTGACAACTCTGCGAGTACGCCGCCTTTTCTTCTCATCGTCTGACCCAGCACCGGTCTCGTTTGCACTGCCTTCGTCCTCTTCCTCGGTGTCAACAAAGTCTGTATCGATTGAGTCGTGACCCGAACTCTCCGACTCGTAGTCGTTGTCATCCTCCTCCTGTGGACAACGAAATGCATACTCAGTAGGCCTTGAAGCAAACACGATGGTGAAAAAAAGAATCCAACCTCAGCAAATCCTCCGTATGCGCTAGTGTAAAATTCATCCTCTTCTTCCTCGTTCAGCAACCGAGCCATTCGAGAGCCCGCATTGGGACGGCGACTGCGAGTCACCGTAACTGAATTCAGCATGGTCTTCTTTGGAAGGGTGGATTGGCGGTTTATAAACAATATTCCTTTTAGAATAAATTACTTTCAACCGACTGCAAATTGCTAGCAAGAATAAAGGGAAATTGTTGGAGGAAAACTAAAACCATTGCCATAATCAACAATTACACGTGAACAATGGGGTCAGCGACAAAACAGATCTACTTTGCATTACTACATCATTCATTCAAACATACCTTGGACACCCATAGATATGCAAGGGGGGAACCAAATTTGGGGAATTTATGGTGTTGAAACTCAATACGACCAAAACCGGTATAACTAAAGAACTATCTTTTAATGAGGATCGCCACACACGTACCACAGTGTAAGCTAGTTCCACTAAGATCAGCGTGATGGCCCATCCCATTAAAGTAGCATATTCATAGTACAAAAATCAACAAGGTAATTTAACAGGTTACTTTATTTACAAATAAGCAATGCGAACAAGTTGAAACTAATAGTCTAAGAGACTAGAACTAGAATAATCACACCAACTACTTGCAGGAACGGCGGGTACGTTTATCCCACGAGAAATTTGAAGCATAGCTTTTTGGCTTAATAGTCGTCTTGTGAGGCTCTTCCACTACGTATGACCATCCTTGGCTCTTGCAATACTCTATAGCCGACTCAACACTGGGGAAGTCCATCGAGAAATTAGAGAGTGGGTCGCCGGTGCTAGCCCAACCCATTAGGGGATTTTCCCAGCGCTGCTGGTTGTCAACTTCAATACGCCACTTGTTTGATCCAAAGGTGCCAGATTGCGTTGCAGCCTTGCTAGGTAAGTAAATACGCACAGTACGGGTTTTGAGTTGCTCTTGTGGGATGTGAGCTAGTGGCGATACATCAGTTTCTTTGGGCACAACGATTGAGTCGGTCATCGAGAAATCGGGGGACTTCTTGAGAATTTCTCTAGCCTGAAAAGGGGGTATGAGTGAAAAACCAAAAATTCATTTTTTCACCAAATGTTTCATATTCCGTTCTTCTACTTAGATAAAGAAGGTAATGTGAAGTTGGAAATCACGAACATGTAGGGCGAAAAGGTACACATGTGTCATATTTGTGGCTGAAGAATTCATAAGTCAATATTTTGGTTGATTTATAAAATTAGTGTAAGGATACATAAGCTAACATGTTGAGACTTAATATGCGCTTCAACACTGAGTCACTTCAAGCATTCCATGGGACTAAACAATCGGACGGAAATGAGTAATTATATTAGGAAAAGTCCGTTACCTATAACTATTCATGGGCTCACTAGATAATAAAAACGTAACTGCCTCTAAAACTAACCTCATAAGTCGAATCGTGGAGCCTAGTCCTAAAGTGAGGGTCGGCGTCGTCGATGAGGGCACTTCGGAGACTTAGAGTCATTTTAGCAGGTGGTGTTTTTGAGATAAGGTTCCTAGAAGGAACCATGACGACTCCTCTAAGTAATTGGTTAAGAGGCTGTCGCAGAGACATATTAAGTGCAAAGTAGTCAACCAAATCTCAATAAATCTAAACGAAAGAAAAGAACTGTCACCAAGTTTGCCGGCTATGAAATAAAAAGTTAAAACAAAATTTCACTTTACAGACTAAAACAAAATGTTGCATCAAACATTTTGTTGGATGTTTAAAGCACTTATCTTTAAAATGGGCTTATTAGATGAAAAACGTCATTTTACTGTGCTTTTTCTCTGTCAGTTATTTCAGCACTACCTCTATACCCACGTTTTAGAGTGAAAATTCTAATGATTTTATAGTGGTTATGTCATTGATGAATTTGTATTTAAAATAACCATAGATGAACAGAATACCATGCGAGTACGTACCTTCCAGCCAGTGCACAATATAAGAGTAAATTTAAATTGGCCATTTGTGTGTTTCGGTGTTCTGAACTAAGAAGCGCTTGAATCGGGTTTTTTGTCAATTATAAATATTAAACGTAATGCTGGTTTCTAGGATCCTTGATTATCTCCTCGTAAGTCAAAAATAAATAATCTCAAGAGCCCTTTTGGTAACGTTCGTAACTCAATTCTCCTGTTGCATGAGGCCACATTGCTTTGAGTATAACCAAAAAAGATGCTAATATCGCTTTACCATATTAATGTTCACGAATGCTTAAAGATTACACAATTTTCCCAGGTGTTTTTTTATCTCAGAATATTGATACAAGCTCATGATATTGTTGCTAATTGTGTTGATTCACATTCGTTAATCCGATCCATCCATCCTCAGACAATGTTTTCCTTTTTACAGAATATCGTCAGCCGCGCGGAACTCTAACTCCTCTTCATTAGCTCAACTGGTTATTCTAAGTTATTACAACATCTAGGTTTTGATTTTGGAACATTTATGATTCCCGCTGTTTCACATAACTGAGCTATCAATACACACACGCAACTTGGTCGAGCCCTTAATTAAACGTTTGTTAACACGTCTTCTCCGGTCTTCCTTTTTATCGCGGGTAGCAATGTATTGCAACCAAGCCAGATCCAACTCAGTGGTGCCGGCGTGGTTCAACACCACATGTTGGGGCACACAACAAAAACTGAACCAAATTATCACTGTGGAGGTTTATTTGTGGCCTGATGATGAGGCATGGTGCTGCTATGTTGAAATCACTGCTAAAGTTGCTCAGATATTTATCACGTACTATAAATGTTGTGCATCCCAAAATTTTTAAGGATCTCAAAGAGCCCAAACCCTATCCCATTTTGTTGATCCATTATAGACACTATGAAATGGCTACTTAAATGTAAGAATAACACCTAAATAAACTCGAAATCTTTATATCACGGTTCAGTATATCACTTTGGATATTTATCACTAATCTGTGCAATTGATATCCCACGTATATTAAATTTAAGGGAGCTTAAATAAAATCCGATATTTTTTCAATAGGACGGAAACTTTTAAATCTGATATTACTATTTCTAACCCTGACAATTATTTGGGATGTGCCACAATTAGTTCTTGACGTCGACGATAATGGAATGTCATATTCGGGCAATTGATAGCTCGGTAAAATTACTGGAATAATATGCGTGGTTACAGAATGATTTACGAAACAGAGGCCACACAACTTACCTTTTGTGTTTATCTTTTAGATTTTACTTTAAAACGTATGTGAAATCAAACTCTGACTCTAGCGAGACAAGCATCTTCTTAAAGGGGGTGCCCAGTTTTGTCTACGGGTTTTGAAAAGCAAATTCACTAGCAACCTTATTTGCTACGCGTGTGAAAACTCGAATCACCCTAAGGATCTTATTTTCGTAGGCCATTTATTATATGTACTAATATCAGGCCACTTTAACTCGGGTAAGTTTGAATCAAGCCATTTGTTGTGTCGGCCACGAGCTCCAGTAAAATGTTTTAAAGCGAATGTTATAGATGTAAGCCGTGATAGTTCATAAATCACACATATCCTGAACGCCACGAAAACATAAAATTGGAATGCCTGTCCAACTGAAAAGTAACTAAAACAAAACTGACTAGCCTGAATTGCCTGTTTACGTACCATCGCGTTGTTTATTACTTGGGCACTCACAATTTATTTTCGGTTGCATTTAGATATTAATTCAAGTCTTGGCATAAAAGTCAAAAGAATCCTTTTTCGGATAACACACATAAAGTCAGACAAGTGCTTCTTTTGACGCTCATACCATGATCTTCAGAAAAAGTGATCGAAATCGACGGGTCTTTTCACTGTGAAAAAGAACAGAGTTTTTCGAGACCTTTGTGAGAAGTCTTGTAAGTTTTCACAAGACATCACTATCACAAAAGCCTACCTAGGTCTTGCAGATTCGAGGACATATTTGCCTCTGTGTTTCCAGACTAGACTGATCTCATCGTACGCATTTTCCTTTTCATAAAAAAACAGAATGGGTAAATTGTTCTCCTTGGAAATGTAAAAATAATTTTTATTTAGAAACGAGTGCTGTGATTATTTGACTGCCATATTTGCAACACGATAGAGTCCTTTTCTCAATGTTTCACTAAGATAGCTATACAGTGGCAAAAACTGATGTTTATAAATTTGACTTTAAAAAGTACTTTTCTGTAGTTCCATGATGCCCTGGATTGACATTTGAGGCAGATTTGCAGTTGGAGACAATGATGGGTAGTCTTGATTTCTAGAGTCATCGACTGCGACCTTGAGAATGAAAACTTTAACCGTTCTAGCGTACTGACTAATACGAATCGCAAGGATCCCTGTACCCTAAGTGAAACCATAGATTATACCGATGAATGGCTGGGTCAGAGGCATTCCGTCCACTGTGTTCTGTAGCTGGTTTTAAACAAGGTCAGCAGAAGAGGGAGATGTGGGAGCGTGTGACGAGGGTAGTAGGATCGTTTTACAAGTTTTCATAGTCGTTAAAGATTGAGTACGTTAACAAGACAGGCTGGATAAGCAGTGATTCCATTCATGCTTGATCATTTAAAAAGATTGTTTTGCCGACAGCCAGAGATTTGATGGCTGAATGACATAAGACGTCTAATTAGGATGAATTTGAGGCATGAATGACGGCTGAACTTGCCAAAAATACAGAGACCGTTTAAGCAACCATGGTACTTTGAATAGAATGATTTTAGGTACGTCAAAAGAGCTTTGTGACAGTAGTCCTCCAATCAAAACGCCTGCACAATTTTTGGACTGGCTTGCAGAGGAGGGAATCAACAGAATACTGGTTGAATTCGACGTCGTAATTCTTCCATGTTTCGACTTTAACCCCACACCTGCGTGGTTTGCAATCAGCGAAGTTTTGTGCGAGTTCGGAATTAAACCCTTCCCGCCTTTTCATGTGAACCATTTGGTAGTGTATGAGGATGCAATGAGTCATTTTAGCAGGTGATGCTTTTGTAGGACTGTCTATTCTTTTAAAATCTTGACTCTGACTGTCCCTTACCCCTTATCTACTTGCACAAACCGCTGTGCCCAAAACAACGGCATTGTGATATGAATTGCCACCGGACATGCAAAACACTTATGGTCTTCCGGTTACTTATGTAGAGAGTAGCAAAGATTATTTACAATCTAGTTGGTTGTAAAAGTCTACGAAACACGAGAACACGCTGCGTAAGGAAATGCCGATGTGACACTTGGTCGACGCGATTGTCCATTTAGCATTAAGATTCGTGACAAAGCCAAAAGAGTAAAAAATAAGTGAATACCTTTTTTACGTAAGACGCCAGGCAAAAGTCGGGTCAGTGAAGCTGCAAGAAGTTCGTTGATGCTTAATGAGCATCCACACACCTTAACTAGCATAAATTACAGTGAATTACATTAAATTATATTCTTATTAGTTAAAGTCAACTACCTTGTTTTAATCAAACCCAATTTCAAGAGATTATCGCCTCACACTGATTTCCGACAGACATTCCGACTAACTACTTGACAACGAATACTTTCTATATTTTGTTAATGTAACATTTCTATTGCTGATTTGAATATTTTGTTGCTAACCTGAGCGTCATTATCTACTAACAGTAACACGTAATCACTTGCTCACTTTGGTATTCACTACTACAATTTGACTTCGCTTAGAAAAGGTCTAGGACAATCTGTTGATCCAATTAAATGCCTTTTTTATTATCGGCGTAAAATATACCCACCGGTTGGGTTTGTCTTCTGTCCCCACAAATGCTCTTGTCCATTAATTTAAATTCAATGATGTCAATTGAGACATGTGCGTGCTGATTTTATTTCTAAAAATGAAAATGTAGTAATGTGCAACTGCCACTAACTGAAAACTGCGTCTTATCCTACAAAGTCAGAAAACGACAAATAGAACTTCAAATTTCGATGGAGTACATGGTTAGGCATGATTGATTCAATTATATCTGGGGATTCCGTTTTAAACAATACCTATTGCGTATAACCTTGTCCCAGACACTTCTTGCCAATGAGATTCGGTCCTAGCAACTGCATACAAGGTAGAATTTATCACTAATTATGATTGATTAAATGGTGCCTTTTGGTTTAAATATCGTTTTTGGTCAAAAAAGGCTGCTGCTTGCCCAAGCAATGTCTCAAAAGGTTCATTGAAGCAATTCAAAGACAATTTATTCTATCGGACAGGCATTCGCAGCGAGAATGAAGCAGGATAAATAAATAGAACATCGGAGGTGACGGATGCGATGCTGACTCGATTTCAAAATCAAGAAGTACAGCACCCACTCAAGAGATTCTCTGACGCCTCTCAGGAGAAGTGGATACTTGACTTAAAATTTGTCGTTGTTTTTAGTTTTAACAAAGCTAGCTCTTCACGACCAAGTTGGGGAGGGGTTGAAGCGAAATAGACCAACGGCACTGATTCCGAGAATCCCTTCATCTCTATCGTAATAAGCTCGGGCGAAAACATGATCTCTAGCGGGTAAGGGGTTACAAGAACGAGAGCAACGCAGAGGGACTAGGATCCCTCCAAACGGTCAATTCTGTTGGGTTAGATTTTCGTGCTAGGTTGTGCGAACGAATGAAAGAGGTGGTAAGTAATGGGGGAGCACTAACTGACAGGAGTCGGTGGTGGTCAGAGCCGGCCTCGTCACTCACAGTTCGATTTGGAATTCAGCGCTCGTTTCAGTCACGCTGTACTGATTATTTGGTTGCTCATTGGCCACATTCTAAAAAAAGAAATCCAAGTCACAAAGTGTGCGGTCAGAGCAAATGCTTTCCCGCCTGTCTTGAAGGATACCTGCAGGACAGTTATTTGAACAATTTAGAGCACATAGAATTCAGAAATTATCATAAATATGCATTGTTTATTTCATCACTTTGATCTTTACCACAGGATACGTGTTTTTCTGCTTCGGCATTACAAAGCGCTGTGCAGGGGGCCATCCGAACACGCTGCAAGTGCCCGGAACATGCAATGTCTTAAGCCGAACCTGGCAGTACGCACGCAGCCAAACCAACGAACAGCTGCCTGGAGGCCTTGCCAGGCTTCACTCCGCTCGAACGAAGCATAACAAACACGTTTAACTTGAGGCCATGCTTTTGTGGCAGCTAGTAAATGTCTCCCACGTATTTTGTAAATGGCACCACGATTTGCCAATTCTCTGATTCAAATCAGCTAAAGCATTAAAGAAACCCACCGATCCGTCAAAAGTGAAATTGTAAATCACCAACCTAACCACGATAAGAGTGCATTTAGTTTTGTTACATAATTCATCTGGGTCCATTTGATTTCTAATGACAAGGCTACTTTAGTTGGTAGGAAAAGTGCCGTGGTATGCCTGTAATTACATAACCTAGTTGGCAGCAGCAAAATAATGAAATTTAGGTTTTCCCATGTTTTAATTGGAGCTGCATCACTTGGTAAACCGGCCGTTGTGAATGAAACCGTTCTTACCCCAAACCCGTATTGCAGCTTCTTGTCTAGCTGGGGTGGAACAGGTGCGGCTGATGGTGGTGGAGGAGGCGGCGGCGGTGGTGGAGCCTGCTTCGGTGGCGGTTGCTTTTATTACATGCAAAAACAAAACTCAATAATGAAGCGCGCTGCCAGCGTCTAGATGCCCAGACACATTCAAGCCATGCCAGCAAACTTGCAGTACATCCCATGATAAGATTAACAGTAGAATACCAAAATTCTGAGGATGTGATAAAAAAGCTCGCCAGCCTCATGGAATGATCTCGCTTATCGTATCTAGTGAAGAATCTTCAAGGCAGAACGAACTGCTGATAAACCACCAATTTTGCGAGATTTTTTGCAAGAGGCTTGCAGACCTGGCTGGTCTTTAACACTGCTGACATGAACCGAACGAACCCTGAAGGTCGCAAACGCATGTAGAAATTATGACTTAAAGCCAAATCATGGCAGAGGTGGTCTGTCAGAGTAGAGACAACGCTGAATTTAAACAGTAAAATAGGAGGCCCTAGCTGTGGCTTTAGTGATTCTTTTGGTTGAGTTTGTTGTGGCGAAATCTGGCCAAGAGATGCGATGTAGAAACAAGTTTGTCTTATCATCAAATTTTCTGCACCATTAAAACTGTCAATAACATTGGTCAAAATGTTTCATGCAAAAAATCTGTACGTCTACGAATAAGGTAGCAATGATGCAAATTTTTTCACGATTGTTGATGTGAAATTTGTTAGACAGTTATAATTACCTCAAAGGGAAAATAGTTACACGAAGACTAAAAGCAATCAATCTCGTCTACCATTACAATTGTAGATATTAATTGATAAATAGCAAATTCGAGCATTTCATGCATCATTCAAAGTGCTAATATGTCGCGATGAGAACAAAAGGCTCTACACAGTAAGTCTACTAATTAGCTAAAAGTAGGGCACTACGAATACGCTAATTTCGTTGTTACTTTTGTCTGTGTGGGTTGGCGTTGCGGCTGAACCATCGTAGTCTGAGGCTGCTGCTGCGACTGAAGTTGCATAGAATAAGTCAAAACAATGGTATAATGCTTATCACCATTTATTTTTGGCGAAATGGAGTTTAGCAAATACAGGCATGGCTACCTCGGTAGCTAATAAAACGGCCTCTAAAGGTTATCTGTTTGATTTTTCATGGTGTAATTGTCACAAGGCATTTTGAGCACCTCCGATATCGGATTTAAAAATGCTGTTTCATCTTGACTAGTGCGAAAAAATGTTCAAGACTTTTGAGGTATCACAAGGAGTGCAGCATTTTGGTATCAGTTAGCTGAACCGAGGGAAATACTGTTTAAAAAGGTGCCAGATATCGTCCACCTCGACTCTCTTCATTACATAAAACCATGAAAAACCTTTTGGGAATTAAGTTCCGCAAGAAGGTGGGTAAACTTAGTCATTTAGCGAATTTTCTTACCTACTAGAATTAGTGTAATTCAATAAAGGTTTAATAACGGCCCGTGGTGCAAGGGATTCCACGTGAATAGGATCTGTACTTGACCATTGCTTCGGTTTGTTTGCTAGATGAAACTCCCATTGTAATCCTTTTTTTAGATTTCAAATACCCTGAACGCAGGAATGGCGAAATTCCACTAGTCCATATTAAATAGTTACACTTATTGCTATCGTTGCTAGCTGACTTTTGTCACTCCGAGTTTCCGAATAGGCTGCGCTTTTAAGGCCACGTATTCCTTAAATAATGGGGTTTTTGTAAGCTACCACTTTTTTAGCTTTGCTAAACACTAAATTCTATTTAGTGCTCAATTAATATTGCAGACTAATCTTGCATTATTTGCAAATTGTAATTAGTCTTGCTTATTGCAACAAAACCAACCGATTGCGAGCGTCTGCCGACTGAAATGCAGCATAATTTATCGAAGCAACAGACATCCAAATCAGTATAACATGCGAGTGAAAGGTGCAGGACAGAAAATGTTTGTACCGAACTAAAGTTACATGCATCATTTAAGATTTGAGTTCGTTTACTGAAGATTTAGCTTTTAAATACCCAAGTAGGAAGCTAAACCGTTAAGAACCTAAGTTTTTGCTTGATGTACGAGCGTTAATTTAATACATTGACTGTGGCAGAATTGGACAGTGGCGTGTTTTAATTTATTTAATATTAGCTTATTTGCCTTGGCCAAGTCTGTAAAACCTTGAATTCTTAAGATCCCGGCTTTCAAAAAGATGTTTTAAAACGAAATTATCCTACATAAGACACATTCTGGGGTGCAGGCTGAGGTGGCTGTGGTTTAGGAGCCGGTGGCGCCGCGGTGTACTGCGGCGTTTGCTGTGGCAGTTTTGGAGGTGGTCCCTGAAGCGAGCGGCGGTTGGAGCGAAGGGAGGCCTGCACCTGGGCGTAGAGCATCTCCGTGTCGTTCAGGCCCTCAGATTGGCTACTTCCTAAAATAGGAACCACGTTTTGGCAAAATCTGCTTGTACCGGAAACACATGCTGCACCAGAAAGGCCGTTGCTTGATGCGAGAGTGGGGAAGGGCATAAACCTACAGAAATCGCTGTTACTGGAAATTTGATGCGAGAAGAAGACCACTCAATGCTTTCAGAGGTGTTAAGATATCGCTACGGAGAATCGACTAAAATTATCTGTGGCAAAATTTCGTTATTTGTGTCAGTAACTTTTATTAAATTACACACCTATTCATAGTGCTTGTACTTTGGGCTAATTTTCTGGGATTGAGTGCCGACAGAAATGTGCGTTTATCTTTTTCAAGTCCGTTTTCACGCAAATTAAGTGAAGGCTACAGAATCAGTGAGTACGCAGCACAGCAAATCAGCTAAGTGTATAGCGAAAGTCTCATTTTGAAGGGTAACTGTTAAATGTGTTGGATTGAGACATCAAAAGCGTTAAAGGAATAACCTTATGTCGGGAACAAATATTTTTAACAAATTAATCTGCACCGACATGACCTAACAAGGCTTAAACTCAATGCAGTTGGGTCTCTAAAGCTGCCGAAATCAGCCTTTTAGCAGCAGAGGTAGGCAATGGGATAAATACCATTGTAGTACCCAACCACTTTCATATTCAAAGTCTCTAAGTAGGATCATTCCGAAACCTGCCAAATCTCATGTCACAGTCATGTCAGGTTCAAGATGATACAAACTGCAAGAATAGTCCTCACTACGAGGCATTCAAAAAATCTAATTTAATACGACCTACGAAAAATTTCAGTCAACCCTTGTGTAGTTCTACCACTTGAGGCTTGGAAACTAGTAGATAGGAATCAGCCCTTAATTCGCCTGCGGTTTTTTAGCTACGTCAACCCAACAAGTAGTTACGGATTTGCACACGCGCTGCTTAGTTTGACGATTGCTGGCGAATGGGTATTAAAACTAGTTGAGTTTCGAGATTGGTCTTTTCGTATCACTTAGTGCCCTTGTTTGGCAATGTATTTTAAAAGCGCTGTGGTTGAGTGAAATTTCCATCCAAGTTGAATTGGTGTAATCTGTCAAGTAAAATCGTGGCTTAGTGCCAGTAGTCATCGAATCACAAATTAAATTCGACACTATGAGGAGAACATTGATTGCCTTCCATTGCAATGACACAAGCCACATCCCATCAGTTTAGCAACACTTAACTGGGGTGAAATTAGTAAAGCGTAGCAAAATTTGCTTGATAAATATAAAACCAGACTCAAGAGAACAGGATTTGTCGAACATGTTCATAGCATAAGCACTCAGTATAAGCATCTAACATGATGCAATTTAGAATGCTTAATCGTTCTTTAAGCTGTGCTCAAGTATAACAAATTGTGCTAGCACTCACTTCGTTCCAACTTGCGTAGTTCGAGGACCTTAGGCTTCGTTTTTTCAAAGGCGCTCTTCAACTCATCGCTCCTTTCGACGCGTTTCAGACTCGCCATGCGTCTGAACGGGTTATCTGAAAGCGTTTCGAAAGAAACACGAGAGTAATTTGTGTCTGGATTGAGGATCTTCGATGATGGTGATTACGAAGAGTACTATTACCATAGGCGCCTCCAGTGGCAGAGGGATTTAACCTTAAACTACAAGTTAGTGTTGCTGATTACAAAAACCTTTTAACAATATGCTTGCGACTTTTAGAAGTAGCCAACTCAAAAACTTAATAAATCAAAGTTGTTTTGTTTTATACTACATGGCTCTACGGTGGTTTCATAAATTTGTCTTTTATTACATAGCCACAAACTGAAACGAACTACAAGGTCGCCACAAATCAGACGGTCGGGTCAAAGCTGCATTCAATGTATGTTCACATTCAACTGTCTCCTGAAATATGTCAACTTGCCAAATTCGAGGAACAATTACTTGAAAGACTCACCGGGTGCAACGTGTTTAAGATCAGGTCGGTAGTCAGGTTGAGGGTCAATGACGAGGTTACACTCGGACGTTGCCTCGCCTAAATTGTTTTTCGCAATTGCGGTGACAGTGTACTCCCCTGGCGGGCCACAGCGGTTGAACTCGAGGCAGCTGATGCCGCCGTCGTTGTAGATACGCCAAGCCCCGCCTCCTCCACTCTGTGCGTATTTAGAAAAAAGCGCATCTGAATCTCTGAGTTTTGGGGTCGACGGTGTTTCCACTTTAATATTATGGTTGAGCAAGACAGTAACAAGGAAGGTGGACGAAGATAGGACGCGGGTCTTGGCTCTTAAAAACCAGAAGCCAGGAGACGCTAGGTTGGCACAAATCGACCGCTAGTGAATGGCACAATTCAAGCGAACGTGAAGGCAAAATACTTAACCTGTGTCACTTTCTGGCTCCTAATCCACACACAAAAACTGCTTCCCTCAGAGATGAGGAAGCTGCCACAACTGTTTGATGCGTTGCTTGGGCTCGAATTCCCAGCTCACAGCTTCGTCCAGATGATTAACGTGCGTTAGGAACCACGCTGCGATGAGAAGGTGCGCTTTTAAAATTCTACTTCCGAGAACTCACGGTAGGCAAAACGTCGCCATTGATGAGCCACTGAACGCGCGGATGCGGGAATCCTCCGGCCTTCACGAGGAGACGGACTGGGGAGCCTTCAATCGCCGTGGTGTTCTTGGGTTCCAGCTCAAAGACGGGTGGTGCCGCTTGCTGCTCAGTTTCTGTGTAGCGATGGTCTTGCCTGAATGGTAACGCGAAAAGCAACACACATTTACTTCTCTTTTCATTACAATTTGCCAGTGAGAATCATCACTGAAATATTCTCGGTTAGCAGAGCCATTGCATCCCACTGAAAGCCCTGACGTGCTACAGGCCCCTTGTCATGAATCGTTTGAATTCACAACCATCAACCCGTCAGTCATGCGGAAGCGCCTGCCCCTTCACTCCATGCATGTACCGCCTCCCCCACTCAACCCGCACACTCATTTGATCGCATTTGTACTTTAACAAGTTCACTCAAACTGTTTTGATCAACAACTTTACCGTTCACACCACCGTGTGTGCATACACGCGAAAACGTGGTCGTGACATCGAGTAGACAGTTGTCTCTGCAATCCTCGGTCCTGATCTGTCCAAGAATCTGTATTGTGTAGTCCGACCTATGTTGTTCAAGATCACGTGCCGAAGTCTTTATAACCTTGACATATGAGCATTTATCGACTTAGAGAATGAGAAAAAAGTATATCTATTAATTTCAAAGTGTTTGTGCGCTCATTATTTCGTGTGTTCTGTTTTTCATCTTCAGAGTTACTAATAATACTTCATAACATTTGTGGAAAGGTCTTGAAAATCACAGTATCTTTAACCGGTCTACACCTGCCAACGTTATTTTAATTGGAAGAAAAATTAAAGTGTTAAGGTGAACAAATACAAATTGAAATTACCACCACATAAAAACATTTAAAATATGATAATCATTATGTTTTTTTCTTGAATCGAGTAAAAAAATCGCCATTTACTTTAAACTTTGCAGGGAAGTAAACAATGAAAGGTGTGCATGATCATGCGTGTCATCGTGAGGCTGAGTCAGTGGCAAAAGTTCATGAGCGGAAGCAGAACTTTTAACAAGGACAATATGTCAGGTTAATTTGACATTAAAAGCCTTTGATATGGATTCAGCGCATACTTTTAATTACGCTTAATTTATCGCATCTGGCTTGTAGCGTTCCAAACGTCCTTCGTAGAAACTTCATGAGATCAGGAAAAATGTCTTTGAAAGCCCACAGCCCTTAAATATCGCCCACATGTACAGCGTCTTACGGAGCTTTCGGATTCTTGCAATTTCAACAGCATTGACGTCATCACCTTCAAGCTGTGCCATCCCATTTTAAACCTCACAAGTGGTCAAGCACTTCCTGAAGCCAAATAGTGCAATTTTGTAGGTGGACCGATTGGGCTAGGCATACAATAAATGCTCAATTATGGGTGAATTTAGTATGCCATTGAAATACATTTTCTCTTCTTGGGTCTAAACCAGGCCCTGTCCTCTGTCGTTTCGGAAAAGTTCCTAGTAGCACCAATAGAGATTCCATAAGCTTATCTATTCCTATCATTTAGTGACACCAAGATACAATTGTCTCTGCAGCCTCTCCGAACTGTATATCGCTTCTCTGTAACCAAATGATTGAATGAATGTCCTTAATTAACTTTTATCTCGAATCTAAGTCAGTGGGCTTGCTGGTGTTTCTCCACGTATTACAAGACTTTTAAAGTCTGCGGCGCAATATGACCGTTAATTGGACCCACGTAAGCTATCCTCTCAGCAATTAGCACCCGCATCCTCCCGTGCAAAAGTGTCAAACGCTCCTGGGCCGTGACTTCCGCAATCAGCCGTTTCTTTTAAAAGTACAAACCCCTCTAATTCGACGTCTTTTTATTGCTAAAACTGCGTTCGTTGATTTACACGTACTTGTTGGCCATAACCCGATTTAAGTGCCTTTTTTCACGACATTATCACTAAGTGTTTACGTTCATGTGCTATTTGTTAAAATAACATCCAGTTGTGAACAAAATTTTAGTCCGACCTCGCATCGTTATCATGCTGCACGTCTTGACGGACACCCGGAAGGGGCATCAGCTGACGTGGCAAGTCGCTCGACCCTGCTACGTCAGGGGTCGCCAAGGCGTGAGTCATTTCCCTCTGGTCTTCTCGTGTCAGGCATGACGTGAATCGGGCAAGGCGTTAGTGACCAGCTGTCAGCAAAAGCATTTGACCCAGTTAACTTTTCGTTGGAGTTCATCAGTGGATTTTAGTAGGTGAACAAATAAATTAAGGAAAACTGCGAGGAATGCCTGGCCAATTTTGAAGTAAATAATGGAATGCGAGGTCTGGAATTCGTGATGTGCGCCATGGTCTTGATAAAGGCTAACATCTACGTTGACCACCGGGGAATTATAGACGCATGCTGCGGCCTGCTTTTGGTATTTACCTAACCAGACATGGAAAATCTAGCATTGCTCGCTACACAATTGTCTAATCCACACCTTCTGATTAAAAACTGACCAAGCAAAGAACATTTATGATTAATCGAAAGCAGAAATTAATAATCCATTAATAGATTTGGCCATAGAAATGGATTTTTCAGAAATCAGCGGCTAGAGTACGTAAAAGGTAGATTTGATTTTTTTTCAGAAAACCTACTCTGGAAGTTCTAAAGCAATCGCGATGGGCTAAAATAAGGACACGGAAATGTTTGCCCGTTCAACCCACCAACAGCCAATCCCTCAAGCCCGACTCAGAAGTTGGGCCATATCAGTCAAGTGACAAGACACCGATTTTGCCACTTGATTGAAAAGGAGAGTGAACATTGTTCACCAAGTCTATTTTGACTTGGGCGCCAGTCCTCATTGTAGATTTGTAAAAGCAATCGTACATATGACGCCATTATTCTACCCTGTGTACATGAATGTGGTGTTTGGAAGATACAACGATGAATCCGTTTATGCGACTTATCCAAAATTTGATGTAAAAATTCAATCAGGCTTTTCTGAGACGTCTGTTTATTAAATCTTGCGTAGTGCTTAGCTAAATTATCTAAATAATGATTTATTGGAGCCAGAATAGATCGTAAGATGGGATGAGGGATCCTCTTCGGTGTTTGTGGAGCAAAATACAACGTTTTCTTTATGCCCAGTGAGTGCCAAAGTTCGATGCGATGCTTTGAAGATGCTGAATCCCGTTTGAGCTAACAGATTCCAGCAATTGTGACTGTACTGGTGGCTAAATGATCCAATATGGGGATCCAGATTTCGTGAAGCCACTCTACCCTATTTGGTTTCTGACTTCACGAACAATGGACAATGGTATTATTTCACTTACATAATGTGTGCATTGTTAGGAACTCTACAAGATTTGTAGCACAATACTTTTCACAAAATACATTTGAAAGAGCCTGAGGTGGAATAGCGGAGTAAATCCACACTCTACTCCAGCTCTCAATTTACATCTACCGTGTGTTGCAGTTGCCAGATTTATTTAAAACAAATAATGAGGAGTGTTTCTAGTTGACTTTTGAACAGCTTTTAAAATTATCAACCTTTTTCTCAACGATCTTGAAGCTGTTGGTAAAAATAATTTCACGTTTTTAACTAAACAAAATTTATAAACTCACAAGCCCAGCAAAACTCACGTAGTTGAAATTTCAACAGCATCAAGACTTCGAAGATAGTTTACTGATTCAGCAGAGAGGACAGAATCAGTTACGACTCCTGTTCCACCTTTGCATCTATAAATGTAAAGACGAACCATGCACTGAATGAAGTCGGCTACTATTCTTTACTTGCTAAGCCCTATTAAAGCACGTGAAATCAGGTGGGCAGGAAGAATTTTGCACATTTCCTCGTAAAGGATTAGAAGTAATTTGAGCTCATCAGACCCACCCTGGTCTTCCCTTGCCTCTTGCAGACGGCTGGTCCTCCCTTTTCCCCACGCCACCAACCAACTTCCCAAAAATGACATATCACTGCAGCACCAGGTCTATCAACCTACGAAGGCACAGTTTAGTGTCCTGTTCTATCCCAGTTTGCAGCAAGGTGCAAAAAATTGTCTGCACTGGACTCACGTAAGTTCAACCACATTGCTAGTCGCGGAACCGGCATTGTTTTTGGCCACGCAGTGGTACATGCCGCTATCTTCAGGATAGGTGTAGTGGATATCCAGGATGGCGTATCCACGATCCATCGTCTCGGTAAAGCGACAACCTTAGTAGAAAACAAAGGTCTCAGAAAGAGGTTTTTGTGCCGTTTTGCATGCATGATAATGATTCCTCTTCAGTGTTCCGTAAACAGATAATATGACGCACACAGAGTAAACGTTTATCACATTGTGAGGCCCTGCTCAATAAACGGGTGGGAAATTTTCGGAGAGAACACCATTCTGGTTGATCGGAAACAAAAAACCAACGATAGAGCGGTTAGCTGAGCGGTGCCCTTGTGCATTCGGTGAAAAGCAACTTACGGGCATTCGGTCTTGCGGATATCTATTCAGCACATTAAAATTGGGACAAATACTTACCTCTAACAGAGAAAGAGTCACTATATTTTAGATTACGAGACTTCGCAACTCCCAAGTTAGTATCTGAGTGGCCCCAATCGAACGAAACTCCCGCTGGGGCGAAACCTGATCCATGCCATCAGCCACAGTGCAAGAAAAACCAGAAAGATCAGAGAACCGATACGTGAACGTCCTTCTTGTGACTTTTCGCTTCTTCACAGGCCTCTCATTAGTGCCTTTTTTATCTTCCCACATACAGTGCCAAACGACACCCCCAAATTTAGATCTATCTAGTGGTCACAAGAAACAAGTTGTGAGCTTGTCGAAAAAATCATGCTGCATGACTTTTTGGGGTAAACATGGTAGACCGCCCTCGGCAACAACCAGCCGACTGAAACCACTTGCCATTTTGGAGCCCTCGTGGAAAAAACTTCTACCTGCTATTAGAAAAGCATACTGTTCGGGGAAATGAAGAAGGATGTATGTGTGGAGTAAGATGTGCTGTGGTATTTTCCGACTTACAATTGTGCATTAGGAAGTAATTCAACAATGTTTGATGTTACGATGCCCACAATTTTGAAAGATTCGTGAACAAATAACGTTTAAGGTAAGCTTGGACTTCCTGGAAACTGGACAGCCTCAAACATCTGACTCAGGACTGCATTCTTGCCATCTGAACATACTCCGCAAACCATTTCCGAGAACCAAAATTTTGGAATTAAAAGGAACTTCACATAATTTTTGTGCTGAAAATTAATTATAACTATTCCATGTAGGGCCATGTTCGCAAGCCTTTATTCAATCGGACCACCTACGCACGCTGTTTTAACGGCGACCGATTGTCCACTGATTCGAAACTTGCACGTACCAGTTTTGAGTGGCTCTCCATCCTTGAACCACTCGACAGTCAGACTGGGATCGTTAGCGGGCTGAACAAACGTCTCGAACTTGGCACTCTCGTTCTCCTTGAGTCCAATTTGGGGGAAAAGCTGGCGCATAAACTTCGGCGGATTAGTAAATTTGACTTCCTCTTCACGCCGCGGCGTCCCGTTCATGGCCAACTGACTTTCCATGGCAGCCAGATTCATTATCATCGACTCTTCCGGTAGCTGGGAATCAGTCACAACACTTTCGTCCGGCACAATGCTGAAATTAAAAAAAGACCGTCCGTCTTAACTTGGAAGTCGTTAATAGAATTTTAAGTATGATAGGCATGAAGAGCACGTAAATGAACAACAGTGGGTAACAAATTGCTTGCTAGCATACTGCTATTTCTCACGCACTGAATCCATTGGATAGTAATCAAAAAAATTCTCTTGTGTGGGTGAATCAAACCTTTGGCCTAAGAGGTAAAAATGGTCGAATATTAGTTTTTAGTGTCAGTAGATTTTAAACAGTAAGTGATTTCCAAACAATGACAAAATTGAGCCCTCTAAACCTAAAAGGAGTGATGACTCACCTTGCAGAGCTGCATTTAAAAAAAACTAATTAGATCCAGTCATTATCAGGGTGCGGCGAACTCACGTGACAGTGCAGCTCGTCGACTGGGCGCTGCCATGGGCCGTCTTGGCAACACAGACGTACTCACCCGAGTCGGTGGTGTTGGTGTAGAGAAACTGGAATTCGGCGTATCCACGATCGAGGATCGCGTTGTGGCGTGAAGCTTTATTTCAGAATAACACAAACAGTTGTTAGACGGACTGACTATCGCTTTACAAAACGCCTCCCCAAATTCCAAATTCTCGTGGAGTAAACATTTTGGATTCTCAAAATAAGCATCCTAAAGTACAAGAAATTTTAGGTCTGGAGGGTTTAACAATTTTTTATCAAAATAGAATGATAAAAATTTGGAAATTCGACATTTAACCAATGCATTTCATGACGTGCACACCTTACCACTTCCGCAAGGTTAAAATCAATGGTAAGTCGGTCTTATTAGCGTTAATTGTGACTTCTTAATAATGGACAACACCGCACACAATTTTGTCACCGCACTTATAAATTCGATATTGATAACTACGTGGACAACGTGGATACCGCTTGGCATTGTTGGGGTGTTTTGAATCGGTGTGGAAGTTTCAAACAAGACGCATGTAGGGCGATTTTCGAGTGGACTTACAAGCAGTCAACACAACGCCATTTTTGAGCCACTGGACGTCAAGTGTAGGGTCCCCAGCGGGTTTCACGATGGCCTTCAGTGTGACCCCGTCTCCCTCCTTAACAGTCTCCTGTGGCACCGGGTGCTGAACGAACTGAGGAGGACCCTCGACATCCCCACGATCCATGCTTCTCCGTGGTTGCTAAAAGGGGCCCGCAAATGTCTGGTGGCGGGAATTGTGCACCCAAGTTCACTTATCTGGGCTTTTGGCATGCTAGTTACCAATAACCTGCACCTTTAAAACGCGATAAATTGAGCATTGTTGCATTATCAGATGAATGCAAAGGCGCAACTAATGATGAAGTATTCCGACCGATTAGTATTTGAATGTCACCAGCGTTTCTACGTAAAATCGGCACAAATTAAAGTGATTGCGGTTAGTGGGGACAAGAAAACCGTATGAGGTTTTCATTTTACATGCGCTGCTCACCCGGAACACCGTAGATTTTGAGTGCTGGAACCCGTCGCAGAAATAAAATCAGTTAAAATTAATTTAAAAGAAGAATGGCTTTCAGAACGTCTAGTTAAAGTGACAAAAATATCGGCACACTTGCGGTTACTTGTTTCAAAAACGAAAACGCGAATTGGGATCAAAAGGGTGGATGTAGGCGCATGTCAGTGAGTGTGGGATAAATTGCCATTTAACTGATTTACTTAAGCTAGCAGGCTACGTAGCAATCCCACTTTTAGATCGCGAAGAATGCGCTGGAACTATCACAGCCGGGCAGGCATTAAGCATGAAACTGACGGTGGAAGTCATACACCAAGGCCAAAGCGTTCTCATTGGTTCACCTAGTTGGTTGCGATGCCAAGGAATGTCTCGTCCATTAAACATGGTTTGTGAATTTCTCATGAAATTTAAAACTCAGATAATATTAACGTATTAAATTTTGCATTTGTTAAAATAATACTAAAGCCAAAAGGTGCATTTACAAATCAACTTTGAGAAACTTCCTTAAAAAGCAGGAGTATACATTGAATCCCTAGTGGCTTCTGGTTAAAACATTTATTATTATATATAATAAAAAAAACAACAAACCATGGTAAGTGCTTTTTCCAACACTCTGCAAGAGCTGTTGTCGCGAAATAGATTGGTATTTACTAGGTTTGCCCGAAATGTTACGAGTTTTTGAGAAACCTTTTGCATGTAGACGTTGCAGTAGTGATGTGCTGCATTTTACAACTTTCGTAAACAAAGCGCGATCATAGACTTAGATTCAACCATTTCTCCATGCAGGCTATTTTATGAAGGGGAAGAGGGCATACGAAACCTTCACAAGTACTAATTTTATTTGACATTATGCAAAGAAGGCGACTAAGCAGGCACACACATTTAATTATTGGAGGAATTTTAATGATTTGGCTGTCCGTTTGGCACAGTGAGTCATCACTCTTGCCCATTTCATGGGCTGTTTGAACTGTGGTGCCCAGACAGGGGCGACCAAATCAGTTTTGAACACACTTGGCAAGCGCCGACATCCGCAAAATATCTTTGCATCTCGAGACATCGACTCGTGAATGATTCCAGCAGATAATATCAATCTGGAAGTCCCTTTTGAAACAATGCTCGACAGCTAAAAGGCGTTGCCAAAACAGATCTTCACTTGAACTAACTGTAGTTCCAGATACATAATGACGAAAAGTGAACCAGGTAATCACATTTTCAGTTTTAGGTCTGCGCCATTTTAACTAACAACTTTTGGAAACCGTTTTATAACTAGGTGTACGCTTGGTTGAATACTTTTTTAACCAATTCCAGTACCTTGATTTTTTTCAATGAAAATTAATATTTAATAGTTAACCACAGAAATATCGTAACTTAGAACAAATTTGTGTTCGTTTAAATTACGATCTGATCAATTGGTTAGAAGTACGATTTAAATGACGATGTTACACAACATACTGCATTCCATTCAGCTGCCGCTGAACACAAGAACAGCAGCTTCCCCACTGTCTATTAGTCATTCGTACCTTCCGGTTTGTCCTGGGTGTAAATGTATTCTAATTAAAATAAAAATAAAATGGGCCATGGATAAAGCCGCCCTCGAAACCACAGATTACTATAATTGATTTATCTTTTATTTTACTCGACTGGTTTAGTTGGAATACTATTCAATTCCGTCACTACCTGTATGTCTCTCTACTTGTATATATTTAGTGTTCAACCTTTGCTACCTACCCTGCATATTGCCACACTATTTACAGTTTAGTGCGATCAGTCTATGTTGTTGGTGTTGGTGTTTTAGCTGCTTTTATTTACAATTCCTGCAACGAGAAGCCCTTAATTGTGCAACTACCACCGCACGCTGTCCGTGAAGCACCACGAAACACAGACCTGCACATCCAGGTATTTTTTTAAAGAATCAACACAAGGCTTTCAGTTAATACATGATCTATCAAAGTCCCGATTTTCGAACATCTTATCCACGACAGCTAATGTTTCAGGGCGATGTTTTATCTATGCTGATTTAGAATTGCTAAAAGTCAAGTATTTTGTAAAATGAAACGTTTTTACCGCTTTTTTACAAATCTCATACCAGTTACTATTTTCGCCTGGGCGCCTGCCTAAGAAAAGTTGTTCGTGAACAGCGGGCAGGATGACACCGCTGTGACCACACCTGAAATTCGCTTCTCCTCGCATTCTGCAGGCCTGTGGGCTTATTTAAACCAGCCATGTTTACGGTAAAGGTAGTTTGTGTGCGGTCATAAGGTCACGTTGACTCTGCTCGGAGATGTTTTTGAGCACATTCCTGTTTTAACTTGACGACCAAGCGTTCCACACTTATAAGCATTTATCATCTGGATTTCATGACATAAGAATCTCGAAGAAATCATCGTTTTTGATGCCAAACAATTAATGAACAAAGTTCCTGGATTCAGTTTTTACCAGCTGTAAATTTACGAGCCTTAAAATTCAGGTAATGCGTCAACCTGTCGGAGTTACAAGCCGCTCATGGGATCACATGAGCCAGGTTTGAAACCATCTCCGTGCGAGTCCACCGTTAGTTTGATACGAAAGCACGCCTTGGTCCGGAATTCATTGATGGAATGGAGTGAAATGTTGTAAAAAGGGAAAGAGAAGTCATCTAATTAAACCCGAATCGTTGTTTAGTTGCCCTAACAATTGAGCAAATATTATTTCCAATTTCTAGTGAATCGTGACCCTCTCCCTTGTGTACGATATATTCCGGAAAAATTGAACTATTCACTGCAGATATCATATAACATTAAATGGAAAACGAATAGAGCAATCTTGAACAAAGACAGACACGTGCTCTAACCTTATCTATGTAGTAATTTGAACTGTACGCTCAAAAGCAGTCGTGGCATTAGCCATCTTAAATAACTACATAGCTCAACTCCTAAACTACTCTCCACGCTACCCGCTAACATTCTTTAGAAAAATAGCCTTGAACACGGACAGATTGCATGACGTACCAACTGACGAAGCTTTGGAGTGTGATCCGATGGGCTACTAGGTGTTCCACCAGTATAAGTTGGTTGCTGTGGCCTTTGCTGCTGCTGTTGCTGCTGCAGTGGCACTACTCTTTGCTGGGCTGCCACTGATTGAAGATCTCTCTGTTGTGGCGGCTGGTATTGCTGTGGTTGTTGGTGCAGGGGTGGGGCCATAGCAGTTGGTGCAGCCTTTCCCATTGGCTGGTACACAGCGGGCTGCTGATTGGCCTCTACGGGTGCCGGGTGCGCTCCTCGGTCGATAGCTGCGCCTGTGTACTGGGGTAGCTGTTGTTGTGCCTGACCAATTCTTATCACTTGAGGCTGGGCCGCTTGCATAGGCTGGTACCTCGTTTGTTCTTGTTGGTAAGCCATCTGTTGGCCCTGGTATGGTGTTGGTTGAATTTGTGTTTGGTACACTTTCTGCTGGGGCTGATATTGGGCTGCAGGAGTCAGCTGGATTTGGTGAGCAGTCGTCTGCGCTTGTTGAGGCTGATAAGAACTCACGTACACCTGTTGTGGTTGAGACTGTTGCACCTGGTAGGGAGGATTCGCCTGCGGCTGGTATTGGGCGCCCTGAGATGATGCGTATTGGACTTGCTGCTGTGGTGGTGGCGGCGGTGGTGGTTGGTAGGTCGCCTGACTTATCTGGTTCTGTGGCTGGTACTTTCCAGCAGATGGCTGGGCTGGCGCCGGACTAGCATACAAGACGCGAGTTGGTTGTTGTGGTGAATAGAGTGGTTGCTGGCCCTGCATAATGCCGGCTTGTGTTGGTTGCTGCTGTTGCTGGAGTGAAGCACCCACCGTGTATATTTGCGGTGAAGTTGAGGTGTACTGCACGGGCTGGACTGCCTGCGGACTGTAGCACGTCTGCTGAGGCTGTGACTGCGGTTGGTAATACGCTGTTGCGCCCTGCTGACCTCCAGTTGCGTAGTACACATTCTGAGTGGGTTCTCTAGCTGTGGGACTCGCTTGCACAAACTGACTCCCCGTCCTTATCACTTGAGCGTCTTGGCCAACGCCTGGGCTACCAGTGTAGTAGATTGTTTGCGATTCCATCTGCGATTGAATAAAGTACTTCTCAGGGCCACTCCACCTAGAAGAAAACAGTGATGATGAACAGAAGTATAAAAATGCCTGGTCAAAAGACGGTCTCACGTTTTGATAACCTCTGTCAGCATTTGAGTTTATGGGACGATATCTCATAGCATTTCACAAAATTTCACCCTTTCTGATTGTAAATCAACTTCTTAGATTGAATTAATTCAGTGTTCCCAATCGTATAAAGTCCATGAAATACTATCAAAAATTTGGCATATATACCTTTGATGGTCCTACATAAAGGGTATTAAAATCGCCTATAATAAACCGGAATAGCCAATCAACAACTAATTTCTAGTAATTCGTTACCTTTATTCAGACGGGAGCTAATACATATTGATGAAATGAAATTTATTAAGCACACCAAAGAGGAATGAGAGGGAAAAAGTCGCAGTTTAATTATTGAATGAAGTTTATTTCTGACGCTAAGTTTGTTTACAACATTTAACTCCGCAGTTTATTAAATTGCAGGGCAATGCAGACTTTTTTTAAATTTTGTGTTGCATAATTTTAGGGAACAATGAAAGCAGGCCCATTCGGAGCCAATCAACAAAAAATACTAAAGCTCACAACCAACTGTGCCCATAAATTTGTAATTATTAATGGCAGCCCTAGCTGCCTACATGTTTGCGTAAATAATATGTGCTTTCTAAGAAAATTAGAACCTTACCGACTATTCAATCTTTAACGGTTCTTTTTTACTACTAAATCACAATATCAGAAGCAGTAGTAGCACCATTTTGGCTATTGTCAATTACCAGGATGTTTGTTGATGCGCAATGTCCAAAATCAGAATTCCACTCGCAGTTCCATGTTACAGACCCAAAACTCATTATTTATAAACAAGCAGTAGTATGTGTTTTGAACACATTTTGACAAGCACAAACTACACAGTCGGTGCTGCATCCTCCAAGAATGCGCACTGTTAGCAGCCAACCCGCTTCCGCAATTTGGCCTGCCCGCTTGCCGCCAGTTTGAGGCCAGGTCCAATTACCATTTGGGAAGCGGGATCGGATAAGCCAATGTACAGTGACTAATGCTTACTGGTTGCTGATTCTTAATGTGCCATTGCAGACAAAAATAATAGCCGAACACAAAAGAATTTAATTAAAATGACAACTACACAAATTGTGGATTAGATGGCTTCAAAGGAAGCTACGAAATTTTACTTCAATTTGCCTTTTTTTAATTTTGGTAAATTCTCCAGGCATTTTTTTCAATAAAAGTGACCAAAATGGTAACACCAAGAATCAAAATGAAGCCGAGGGATTCGTGACAGAATGTGCATTAGAAGGAGAGTTGCGATTGCAAAACACACAGATTAGGTAAACTCATTGTTAGCACGCAACTGTCACACAGCCCATTTCAAGAACCACATTCGCAAAACGCACACGTCTGCGCACCGCTCACGGTCTCTAAAGGCATTTACACACAGACGCGGGTGGAAAAAACACATATTGTAGCACAACGCAACTTTAATCAATGTCTTCATTTTCCCTCCTCGGACAAATGGCATTTCGCCCTTGTGAGATCTGGACTTGATCTGATCTTTGGGGTGGCAATCTTGACTAAATGCTCAATATACTTTTCTCACTGGTTGTTTGGTCAAAATCAGTATGTATTCCCTTTCATTAAACTCACAGAGACCAAACTAAAGCAGTGCTAGATTAAAAATAGAACGAAACAACCTTTACGGAAATTATACTAAGTTTTGTAGACCGATTTGTTTGACGGAAGGTAGTAATTATTAATCAAGAGTGGAATCTCCATCACTTTCCTGCAATGTTTTTGAATTCAGTTTTGTTCAGATGCTGCGTCGTCTCTCTTTAAAGAAAGTCGTGTTTGACAGTTTTGACATCTATGGAAATGGAATTTTTAACCTTCGAGGCGTTTAGCACAGAATGAAGCTAATGAACTTCTGAAAAGACGAAGTCAGGAGAGGACTGAGGCTGCTAACGCCCTACATTTTCGCAGTGTCTCTTGAGCGGCACGAGGTCTGGTATTGTCATAGTGAAAGCCAACGCCCTTTTGACTGACCAGATTTAGACGTTTTCTTGGATTTCATCATTGGATTGAAGAAGATCATAAGTAACTAATGGTCTGCGACGTCTCGCTAGAGACATAGCATCACTTTCTACTCATTGGCTTGGATTCCGCTCGTTGACTTTAATTTCAGCTTCCTGTTCTAGTTATGTTCCTATCACACTTTGTTCCATTCTCTCAAAACGTACCAAACACAAAAAGGTGGTTTTGAATTTTAGTTTATAATTTTTAAAAGTCCTGGCCATACTTTTTTCCAAAACGATTCAAATTTTTAGGGATTAGTTAGACTAGAGACGCATTTACATAGGTTACACTTGACAAACTAATTGAAAAGAACCATTAGCACGTTCAAAGCTGCATGAGTCGGTCATCTATGAAATATGAGCAAGGGCTTAAACAACTACTTTACTAGACATGCTCTGAGAACTATAGCTCCCTGCTTGACGTGAGGTTTTTTGCCAATGTTGTTCACGTTGTGACCACACCCAAAATTGACATCCACTTTTAACTAAGTATGATCTCGGATGACATATTTTAATCTAGGTTTCCAATTTCCACACCGAACATCAACAGATTATTATCGTCCAGATTCCTTCCACGGCAAGCGTCATATTTTAGCACAAAGTTAACACTATGCATTGAATTATTGTTGTTTTTTGGCATTATGGTCATGTGGCAATCAGCAAGCGAGCAAAGTTAGCAACCGTGAGCGAACGCAGTTGGCAAGAGTGAGCGATTTGCGTGAATTAACTTCATGCAACTGTGTTCGTTCAAGGACCGATGTTGCTCCTTCGTTTTTTTTTCAGTCTTATTTCTCACCACACCACGCCGCAACAATCACTTATTCTTCATTCCCCTTTCCTTAACAAAAATCAAGACCTCTATCATGGAGGATTTCGTTCAAGGTTAAAGTCAATTTTAAATGAACTGTAGCAAATACTTCTGAAATTCCTTCTGGCAGTAAATACCGCACAATCGCTAGAATCTGTTGCATTTTTTTGGGTTGCTGGAACGCTGAAGCCCCACCTCTTTCGCCAATCATCAGTTCTGTCACTAAAACCACGGTACTTTTGACGGCCATTTTTAACACCCCGACACCTTATGCGCGCAATTCCAGGGCACTTAATTTCGACAGATTCCGATTTAGTCGAATTGTTCTTGTTATTTAGCATTAGGGAAAAAAACTTTGACGCCTTTAGTGTCATATACACAACACAAATAAGAGTTAATCAGTAAAAAGAAATTCAACTGTTTTCCGGTCACATAATTCTTTTAATTTGGACTAGCATTCACTGTTATGACCTGAAGAAATGCCACAAACTCAATTAATCAGTTAGAAAATTAGTGACTGGTTGCTCTGTTGCAGTTTCTTTTTGCCCCCTTGATATACTCCTAGTGATACCGATTAAATTGGCATTCTGGATTGCAGTAAAAGTTCAATTTAATATCGCAGCTGCACTTCGTCTGAAAACTGTCTCAAATGATCCAACTTCAGACAACTTGCTGATTAGACACACCATCTCTGACATTGTTGATAATATCTAAGGGTTTGTGACCGGCTTTGGGTTGCAGGCATTTTCTTAAATGTGTACTTACAACCGTCTTTTAAATTGCTTTGTACGAAAATTCTCGTTAGTTTGATTTTTAAGTGAACAAGAAGCCGCTTGAAAGTCGCCTTGGCAATATGGTATTTAAGATAGGGAATCTTTGCCCATAAGTACATTTGCGTTATTCTCTGCGCTGTGTATTAATTTATATCCACAGAACCTTTTTATCAGACGGAATGAGACGTGAATCCGATTCTCTTGAATAGACTGTCCGTAGCAACAATTAACGATTCTTGAACTAAACGTTTTGGTGCTATCACCTCAACTGTATATCACTAATACCTCAGGGTCTATTTTATTTTTACTAACCTCAATGCCTCACTAAACCACTTACCATGTAAATTAAGGGTGTAATATTGCAGAATGCAAGTTAGTAAAAATTTAAATAGAAACCATACATTTAATCTGGAGTTTCGGACAAAATATATAACGTCCTAGCTGGCTGACCATTGGTTTTTAAAAGAATTTGTATAAATTGCAAATTACACATTGCTCCAAGTCTAATTTGAGGCCCACAAATGTTTTGCAAGATTACTACGTGCAATGAATTTCGACAAAAACAACTCTACTTGTTATGTGAAAATGTGATTTGGCATAGAATCGTCCACAAATGCGGCAAACTCAGACAACTGGGACTGCAAATTAATGGATTCGCAAAGCTGCGGCTATAAATATACGTGCATTGTGTGTGTGCAAGTTTTTTTCGTCAGATAGATAAGAAAGTCATCCGCGTCGATATATATATAACTTGGTTTTTGTTTAAAGTTACTTCGATTGAATCACGCGTTTTATTAAGGTTAGATTAAATTTGGTCCTAATTCAGACAATGTAGATGTGAATGGTCCTTCATGACTTGCAGGAAACGATCTTAGCATCTACACTTTGTCGGCGACATCACCCATTACTTTTCACTTCCAAAGGAGTAAAGTAGCAATTTTGCGTGCACTCCTGTGTAAAATTCGGAGGGACGTTTTTCGACATTGCAGTATTTAAATCTTTTGAGCCTAATTTATAATGCAAGTTTTGGTGCTTGTCGCTAGGACCTAGGACAAGCTAAATACTATCTATCAGGGTGTGAGTTGAGCACAAAGCAACTTCAGATTCGCAGATAATTCTGAGCCTTTACCTCAGTTTATTTATGCAACTTCCAATGGGCAAATTAAACGTGTCATACACTAAATTTGAGCCACAAAAGACGTTGTTGCCCTCTGAGAATGTCCTTAAAAACGCTATAAATGAGGTGCAGAGTACAAGTTCAAGCACAACCTCTTTGGGTAAAATATTAACCATCATTACAACTAACTCACTTAAAAGGGTGCTATTCCTTTCCAGTACTTTGCCGAAACTAATGTTCTTTCCTTGTTAAGGATAGAGCCTTGATCGCGAAAGAACGAATGTTTTATACACGAAACCTTTCGCTCAAAGGTAATGTGTGAACGATACGATAAAGTCGCAGACCTACGATTATGTGCACTGAAAGTGTCCAATCAGAAACCAGCTTCCAGCGTGCATCGATCCCTCCCTAGGGCACAGTTCCATTGGTTGGTACCGATGGGACGAAGGTCATGTGCGTGCGTGTACGAAGATGAAACGTGCTATCGCCGAGTCACGCGCATATCGGCATTTTTTAGTCTTGTAAATTCAAAACTGGACGCTTTATTGAATAACCCTTAATCGCGGAATAGTTTAGAGGACAAGTCTCATCCCCTTGTGCTAGGATCTTTCTCTGAAACCATGAACTCATCAAGTTTGATATGCTCGATTATTATTGAGCTGTAAATTAATTTCAAGTTAATGTAGAGTAATCTAATAAGTTCTACAAGTCATAAGTAGCCACCTCTTTAAACGGGAAAAGTTATTCTGACGACATAACTTCATGGATTAAAATGGTCTGAAAATCACAAAGCAAAACTAGTTCACGCCCGTGATTTGGATGCTTTTGCATCGAAGCCCTCAACTTACGGCTGGCGCCTTACCTAACGCTTGCAGGCAAATTCCACGTCCTTACACGCCCCAGAAAGCCCATTTATCGATTGGAAGGGAAATTCTCCCTGCAGTTTCTCCTAACGAGGTGAGTAATTAAAAACACCACTATCTATCGCGATAGCTTTTAATAAAGGCGGCAGGCAGTAATACCTGGAGCTGTATAAGTTCCAAGTTGCTTTAAGAAATCACCGTCCGCGAAGCTGAAGTATTTTTTAGACAAATCTGCTGCAAAAGAAAGTGATCAGACTGGAATCGAACTGATTATAGCAAAATAATAACAAAGAATTCTGTTTACTACAACCAGCCTTGATATTTGCTCACGTAGTCAGAAGCTGGGGTGAGCCACAATATGTTTCGCTGACTTGAAAGGCATGATTCTAATTCTTCACAAAATTTAACCAACATCCAGGAGAAATTATTAGATGTGGATGAATATTTGTCCATCTCTATGTGGAATTCACCGGCAGAACACACTCTTCTTACCGCGTGTTATTAGAAACTTGAAGACACCATAGAAAAATTGTTAATAGCGAAAACCGTGTTAAAAGAAGAGAACAAAGGTAACCATTTTACCACCTTTGACATCCGACAGCTGCAGTCTTCCCAAATTTGGTTTTGTGTGGTTGAACTTGGGATCGGTTACTAGAATGCTGACCATTAAGCCAGATGGTTTGTGAGAAATTGGCGAATATGTTACTTTTGAATAACCGTATTTGCGACAAGACAAGTAACTATAACTATGATCGGAGTTGGCCGAAATCCTCTCCAAATAAGACCTGCAAAAATGAGATCATTTTGCTGACTGAACTGCAGACAAGTCCAGAGCCATTCACTGCATGCGCCAGTAAGCTGCTGAGGCTTGCAGTGCTTTGCGATGCTTTAACGAGGACATGGTCAGTCAGGATGATGCACTAGTGACCACGTGTCTCCTAGTAAGTTCAACCAAAACAGACTAAAAATTCGAGTGGCTAACAGAGTGACGTCGGTTGGCAGGAAGGAAAATCTGGAGGGTTATCGCGACTCGTAATCCGTTATAAAAGTATCATGGACTTTGCATCTCACTTATGTTAAACTTAACAAGGAAACACTGCTCATTTCCGCATCACTTACAAATGAGCTAGTTTTAAGAACGGGTAACATTAAATTTATGGAAACTTAAAATTGAATTGTTGAGAACCAAATTTGAGAATTTTCAAAATCCATTAACACCACCACAAAAATGTTATGTAGGTAGGTGGCACGAAGTCTGCGTGGTTGACTTGTTCTTCTGTCTAGATGACACTAAATCTTTGAGTGTTTTGCATTTGTTGGGGATCTAGCACTCCCCAAGACGGCTCATCACGAGTTAGGATTTCGTCATTGTCTACACAAATCCCTTAATCACGCCACTTCATCCTACTGACAGCCCCACCTGTGTTAGTCCGCCTTGATCCGTCAGGTCAAGGTTATCCTTGACTTAGATAAATGGAAGGAGGCAGATCACTCGGCCTTGGGCTGAGACATTAAAAGCTCTCTGCACGAAGTCCTGCGACGTCTTACATCAGCGTGAGAAGGTTAGGCTAGCGTCCGACAAGGGATCTGGGGTACCAGTTATCTGAGTGTGCGGGGGTCTTGGTTACGGGCAAAATGATCTGTTCCCCTTAAAATGGGCATGCGGGTTCGCGAGGGTCGAAGTAGGCTGTTAGGCGCTAACAATTACCCAAATTCCCTAGACTACCATCTATAGAGGAACGGATTGCCAGATCTGTATTATTGTTTCCAACAGCTGTCAAATTATAGCAATGGATAAATGATTTGGATAACCAGCTAAATTAAATTTTTTTTGCAATTTCCTGAGACAAAAATTGTTAAAATGACAAGAGCGCTTGGTCCTTTTGGAATGTTCAACCCTCAGGTTTCAAGCTTTTTTCAATACCGGCTAACTGCCTGAAAGCAACTAACCAAAAAGAAGTATGTGCATTTGCATACCCTCCTGGATCTTCCTCTACTCACACCCATAGATACTCACCAGATTAAGTCAAGTGAACTCGAGGTACACCAAAGAAGGGTGCTAAAGAGACCATCTTATAACGGGGAGGAGTTTAATAAACTAGACCGAATGCAAATTTACTGCTTCGTGCCACGCAACACGCAAGGAATTTTTAAAATACCAACCAAAGCACATCCGTTTTTTCGACAAAATCAGTGTGGCTGCAGTAGGCTGACTAATTTACAAACAAGGCGCGTTAATATTGGACTGTAGAATTTTCACAACGAGTGCCTTAAGTTCCTTATTTCGGCCATCTGTAATCTACCACAGATGCATCATTTTAAACAATGCACTAAAGAGTAATGAAAGCAAGGCATGCGACGTTTCTGCATTTTCGTTTGTGGAAGCATTAAGGGGTTTTAACTTGTGCTTTCGTATTATTAATTTAATGCTACTATCACTTAATTCATATTAATGCCTCAAATATTTGCCCATTCTTGTTTAAATTAGAATCCTTCTGTTTTCTCGGGAGTTTCATTCGCTATAGCCAGTGGGAAATTGCTGATTTGTTTAGAGAATCAGCCAGGCAATGCCATAAAAAGTGTTTACGGCATTTAGCTGTCCAGTATCCATAAATACCAGCCTCGCGATCTACCTCAGTAGACATTTCTAACTTTTACCGAAAATCTAGCCAATCCTTGCATTTGTCTGTCGCATTTCGAGTCTCAAGGCTTCAACCTGACGCTAATTTAATGCTAGTGTTTTCACCTCTTCTAAATTCTGACCTACTCCGAAGAAATTACATTTTTACGAAGATGTCAACGACCATGAGGTCTTTCAAACCTGAATCGCTGCTGACACGTGACAACCACTTGAATTCCTTTAAAGAAAACCATTATGGAGTGTGGTGCAGATATCAAAATCAGGTGGTTTCATTGAGAGAAAAAGACTGCGATCCGCATTTTCGCCTTTACCGATCCTAGTCATGTTTCGTCAATGAGAGTCTGATGTTGCAAATCTCGTAGGGGTTACAAGCACGCCCAAAGAACAGCCAACAGACTTAACTGAACACTAATAGGAAAATACCATATGAACGCCAGCCTAAATTTATAGTACTCTTTGGGGCCTATCATGTAAAGAGATTGACTGAAATGCTTAGTGGAATTCATCTGTTTGTTTGTTCACCCCACTACTGGCGTTTAAAGAAAAAAAACGATGAACAGATGAGCCAGGCTACTTATACTGTACAATGTAGATTACAGACTAGTGACGTGATGCAGCAAAGTTTTCATGCGGACACATTCAGAAGGCCGTCCACAGACGTCCGTTTCGGGAAAGGGCCAAAAGCCGAACTCCCATTCACCCTGGATTTTGGGAAGTTTCTTAGGTCGAGCAGTGACTTCAGCACTAATTGGAAAACGGAGTCTTGATCGCTTTCCTGCACAAAATGCAAATAAGAGGGGTGAAGTGCTGCAAATGAACGGTACTTGGTGGAACCTCGTAAAACAATCTCACCAGCTCCTGGACGTCCTCGCACTTGCCGACCCGTGCCCGTGGCCCGAAAACTGCGACACACCAATCTGGGTTGAGGCGTAGTTACGGGGGGGACGTGTGTGCGAAGGACAGGGTAATTTCCGCGATATTTTTCAGGATCTAAGCCTTCGCGCACTAGCCTCCATGGAGCGATAGGTCCGGTAGTTTCTTCTGTAAGAAGAAGAAATCGAGGGAATTAAATAAACGAAAAGTGTTAAAGGAACAAACAAATTTCTCAAAATTAAAACGCACCAACAAGTCCTTGAGTTTCACCCATCAGTGCGAAGTGTATCCTTTTCCTGCGAATCCCCACAAATCGAGCACATTTTACAATTACCCAGGCGGCTGTCCTAACAGCACACTTACCAGTACGAAAGATGACGACAAGCATTAACCATATGATCGTAAAGACCAGTTTAGCTATCGTACAGAGCAGCAACCACACAGAGTCCATGTCGACGCTGAAATGAGGTGTAGTAGTGGGCTAGGGGATCGATGCTCGGTGATAATCGATGGCACGTGTGCATCAAGTGGTCATGTGACACTAGGCTAGCGGTTCATTTCCGACCGAGTTGTTAGTCTAATCACAAATTTTTATTGTTCAGTTCGAGGCATGCCGCCCAAAATACATGGCTACCAATTTTAAAGCTGACTGAGCGATAAAAAGTGCCGAGCACTAACTTAGGAATCCCTTCGACCTGTACATCCCCGTAACTTAGCTAGTAACGGAATCAGGTACTAGTGTAAATCATGCCACTATGCATTACAGTATTAGGAGAACTCGCATTCTAATGGTTTAAGTTATTTATAGCTAATGATTTTTCGTGTTCTCCATAGATTACGTCATATGATTTACTTAATGAAAAAGCAGTAGAATATCATGTTTGTAAAACACCGTACTTAATACATTCAATTGCAGCAAAAGGTGAAGTCTACACACTATGCATAGGAAAATAACAACAATATTTCTATTTAAAATATTCGGTTTCAGTGAAGCGCCGGGTTGATGTATTTATAGAAATTACTGCCCGGTTTAGGGTGGACAATCCAATCAGCCGCCTTAGATATTTTGTGGATACTGTGACCGTTTATCTGGCTCGATGTTTGGTAAAACATAGCATTTGCTTTTGGAGAGCGTGAATCAAATTATGGTAAATACTTAAAACTATATATACGCATTTGTGTAACTCCAAATTAGTTAATCTAATCTAGTGACTTAATGAGAGTTACAAAGGCCAAGCAGTTTTACGTTGATTAACAGCAGCTCTAATTAAGGCTTCACACACCATGTCAAATCACACCATCGTATTCAACACCTTAGTGGGAGCTCAGTGCTAGCAGGTGAGGGAAGCTTGTTTATGACTAATCCTGATTTTCCATTGGCTGAGGTTATTGGTCGCCCATTACACACGGTGCTTCTCACACAAGGGCGCAGTTAGCTGGTTTGGCGCTAATACACAGTCGCATCCACTGTCGACCCTCCTGTCCCTGTTCTTGGGATAGAATAGGCTGATTAGCAGAATTATGAGCGATTGCATTTAATGACCCCATAGATTGGTGACCTCGGAAAACAGTATATAAGTCAACGTTCACCTGTTCAGTATGGTTTATGCAGATGGAAGCTCACTTATTCTCCATTTTTAAATGCACCGAAGACTGACTTAGACTTGGGACCTCTAGGACAAATGTAACCGATTCCATTGTCGAATTCAGTGCGTTCAGGTCGAGGTAAATAGTATTTGTGATGGTCGGTAGTTAGACCCACGACGAAGCTTTGACCAGTGGACGATCGGACACACAATAGTCACTACTGTCACTCCTATTTCCCCACGTACATCATGTTGATGAAAATACATCAAAATATTAAAAGCATTTGCTCCACAGGGGCACTAACGAGCGTGCGGCGGTGACTGTGGGGTGAAAAATTAGCGCTGCAGTTCCATGAAGCAGCTGTTCCGTTGTGGCACATGAGAATAATGTGGGGATTGGTAGATTGCATCAGACACGAAAAATCTGGGGCCACGCGAACTGCATTCCGTGTTTCTTTTATGCCAAAGCTTAACAGCTAGCTTGGTTTGGCTTTTAGAAAACCCTACCAAACCACAGAATGCACGCCACTCAGCATCGTTTGGCATTTCCCATTGATGATTTACCTTTGAAGTGCTTGCAAAGTAGAAAAAAGGGGAAGCGGCTTTAAACACAGAGTAGTGTCGGTAAGGGCTGCAGCAATGTTGGATCTCACATGAGTCTAGCCAGTCAACTCTTTAAAATTAAATTCAGCAGCCAACCAGAGCACAATGGAAAGCGCTGCCAGTAAGGCATGCTTGAACATATTAGGGTTGGCGTGCCGTCCTGATTCCAAGTTTAGAAACAAAACCCGCCTCTTGCCAATACTATGGCACAGGCATTTTCGCATAGGTCACCATGAGGAGCTGATCTGGTTGTGTCGATTCAGCGCTTGTCATTTAGACCTGGTCCACGATTATACTGGTCAAATTTGACAACAACAAATGTCCAATTACATATCGACCTGGTTCGACAGCCAACGTACATTCACTACGGTTAGTTATTTATGATACTTTGTACACTGTCCAGATTCTGCTGCAATAAGCCCACAGCAGACACGGCTATTGGACCACAGTGGAAGCTAGAAACACTAGTTGATGTGTAAGCCTTTGATTTTGCAAACCTTCAATTTGCCTAACTTGGAGCTGCTATTTTCTTCTATAACAAACATAACACTTAAAAAACCAGTGGCAGGACGCTGTGCAGAGTCAAAC